AATGCTGGGTAAGTCTCCTAGTTACAGTTGTACTGACACATGCAATATGTGCACTTGAAAAAAATCATTTCTTGGCAACTCTCAGCTAATATCAGATTTTTACTGGAAACCAAGAAGTCGTGCACACAGGTATGTGTGGCTCTTTCACTCCCTGGGGGTATGCAGCGAGGGGCAGTAGCAAAATGCCTCTTTGGGCTTTTTTACTCCTCAGAACGCACAGTAGTAATGGCTGGTGTAGGGCAAGAGGTTTTATTGTTGAGCTTCTAAGGAAGGATTCAATGACACCGACCCTTCCCCCCCACACACACACTTTCTGCTTGATGCTCACAAAATATAGTGCAGCTAGGGTTGCCAGGTGTCCAGTTTTGAACCAAACAGTCCAGTATTTGAGCTTTCTGTTTGGGAAACAAATTGAGACAGTATAATTGAGTCACTAGAACTGTCCAGTATTTTCTCAATCAGCTGGAATGTCGATTGTGATGTCATGTCAAGTGTGTCCAGTATTTTTGTTGAAACCATCTGGCAACCCTAAGTGCAGATAATGGTATCCTCCCACTTCCTGGAGTGTTTGACCCTGGTCTGCCTCAGACTGTGCCACTCACCAGTGGTCTGATGAGAAGCTCACCAGAGGTTGCATATCCATGCAGTTCCCTTTGTATCCGTCAACCGCAGCCTGATCTGGCCAACCCTGAAAGTCGTGTTGACTCTCCAGTGGATCCTGATGGATGTATACTGGGTTGCTTTTGACTGGTTCCTTTTTTTCTCCGGGAGGTGCTAAATGCTAGCTAGTGTTATATATTTGCTCATGTCATTGTCATGAGGGATGGCCAGCAGCCTGGGGACTAAGGGATTAACTGTTCCTAGCCAGGGAGCAGTCAGCCAATGTTAATGCAGGTAGGAATTTCAAACTGGGATAAAGGAATTTTGGGGTTTTCCCTCCTTTGTCTCTGGGCAGTTGACTCTCCAGATACTGAGTGGGACAGACAACATGTCCTTCTCCCAGAAAAAACTCTTCACCATCTGTAAGTAGGGCAAAGTCTAGATAAATCGGTTAGGCTTTATTGTTTTATGGCTTGGCAATGGGACTCTGATTTCTGTGCATTTAGAAATGGGTTTTCTTTTCTTTTGTATCTAAGTTTTGTTCCCATGGAAAAATTCCCCATGAGTTTATTAATTGGTGGCTCCTACCATCTAGCCAATCCAACTCTGCTTGTAACAGGGGTATTGTTGTGATGGTCAAAGTTCTCTCTCTTTTATGAACCTGGTATTGGTTCAGTTGTGTGTCCTGGACAATCTGTCTGTGGGATCTGCATGTCTCTGACTAAGGGATAGCAGCCACTGACTGCAGTTTGCATTGTCTCTTTTCTTCTGCAAGCTCTTTGGGGAAAAGAGCTTGGGGGTCCCGGGGGCTGGTTTCAAGTGTCCACCCCTGTTTGTGGGTTCAAAAGCACTTGATGGTGGCAGTGGATTTTTATCTCCAAAATCTAGGTTTTTAGGATTTTGGGGGGAAGTTTTATACCAAAGCCTGGAGAGACGGTTTTGGGGCACTTTTGTGGGCCCCCACTTCTGCATTCATCGTGCCGCGACTGGGTGTATAAGTTGACAGCTCGTTACTACGAGAGCTGTGCTGATTTGAATGTCTGGGCCTGTGAGCTCTCAGGCCCTTTGGTCAGGCCTTGTCCTCCCCCAGTCTATCAGCCAGAGATGCTACCGTATTTTCCGGCGTATAAGGCGACTGGGTGTATAAGACGACCCCCTAATTTTCTAGTTAAAAGATAGGTTTTCGTCTTATACTCGCCTTATAAGACTACCCCCCCTTAAGAGGCCAACCGGCAGCGCCCCAGCGCCCCTCTGCCTCCCCGGCTTTGCTCCCGGTGTCTCTGGTCTGCTGGAGACGGTCCCCAGCAGACCAGAGGCACCGGGAGCAAAGCCGAAGCAAAGCCTCAGAAGCCAGAGCAAAGCCTCAGAAGCGTGGCACCCCGCCGCTGCTTCGGCTTTGCTCCCGGTGCCTCTGGTCTGCTGGGGACCGTCTCCAGCAGACCAGAGACACCGGGAGCAAAGCCGGGGAGGCAGAGGGGCGCTGGGGCGCTGCCAGTTGGCCTTTTAAAGGGGGCGTCCTCAGAGGCTTTGCTCCCGGTGTCCCTGGTCTGCTGGAGACGGTCCCCAGCAGACCAGAGGCACCGGGAGCAAAGCCGAAGCAAAGCCTCAGAAGCCAGAGCAAAGCCTCAGAAGCGTGGCACCCCGCCGCTGCTTCGGCTTTGCTCCCGGTGCCTCTGGTCTGCTGGGGACCGTCTCCAGCAGACCAGAGACACCGGGAGCAAAGCCGGGGAGGCAGAGGGGCGCTGGGGCGCTGCCGGTTGGCCTCTTAAGGGGGGGTAGTCTTATAAGGCGAGTATAAGACGAAAACCTATCTTTTAACTAGAAAATTAGGGGGTCGTCTTATACACCCAGTCGCCTTATACGCCGGAAAATACGGTAGGGCTGTTTTCTTCCCTTTCTAAATCCTACTGTTTTTCTCTGTCTTTTAAGTGAGGAGTGGTTATGGATGGAGTTACCATATGATTATAACACCGATCAATAAGCAGTGTGTCATTTTAAAAGTATCCATAAAACACAAGCTACACTAGCTACCTTTTATACGTTCTGGCTCTCTTCTAGCCTCTTTCTCTTGACAGTAATTATTCTTTTTAAGAATTGCTTCAGACTTTGGAGATGGTTGTGGGATGGTTCCTAACTTGCCTAGTGCCTGTTTGTTTTAGAACGTTTGATCCCTTTTTCTGTGACCAAGATCAGTTGCATGGAATCTCCTCTGGGGATTAGGGTTTATTGCTTTAGGTGCGTCATTGTGCATGTGAGGTTGCTCATGCTTTCTTTGGAAGGTGGGGGGCAGATGTTCGTAGCAACAGCAAGGGTCAGAGGTTAGCATGAGCCACAAAAGAGTTAACCAGAAATGTGTTAGCAAAACAAGGCTGCTTGCAAGAACATTGATGTGATCTGCACTTCCTCTTCCAAACGAGTCATCACTGCCTGTTTGAGTCTTCTGATTGTTTTGTTTGTCTAACTTACGTTTTTCATTCCTTCCCTCAAACTATTTTTAATGTGAGCTTTGGTATGTAGGATTTCATCAGTCGACCTAAATTCTCATCGTGTGGATAGCCACGTCCTCTCATTCTCCTTAATAGAGAGTTTGGTTCTTTTCTGCTGGAATGTTTTGCAGGAGAGTGAGATGGAGGGGTTAAGGAAAGGTGCCTATATTTTGGTGAGATCTGCTGAGCTATAACAAAAAGCAACAAATTGTTGTTGTTTTTTATTCCCATAGAACTTAGGAGCCCTAGTCAGAGACCAGGAACCTGTTGTTAGAGCCCTACACAAACACAAAACGTGTATCCACGTCTATAGCTGCTAAAGCGAGTCTCAGATTCTGCAGGCATCTCCACACATGTAAAGCGGGGATCTGCAACTTTGCAGGGTCTAGATATAAAATCTGTATCCACATCTGCAAACATGAGCCGCGGATGTCTGCATCCATATCTGCAGGTTGCAGATATCCATGGATTTGCAGGGCTCTACCCTTTGTGATTCACACCCTCCAGACATGGGGAAAAAAATGAGCCAGGACAGGCATAACCGAGCCTTTGGGGCAGCCACTAAGAGATTCAGATGCTGCTGAGCTGATGAGCAGAGCACCCACAGCTCGGGTGTTTTGTTTCTCTTGCTGGTACCCTTTGGCACGTGCGCCGAGAGCCATGCCCCTCATCGAGGAGGGTTCTCTCCCAGCTTTAATCTGGTACATGAAGACGAAGCCTAGGTGGCGTAGCTCTTATGAAATCCTGCTTGTCTCTTGCATCGAGTCACGGTTTGGATGGGACGGTGAGTGTTTAAGCGGAGACTAAAAGTCTCTTGCCTCAGTTTAGAACACTGGGACTGGTTTGTTTGGGGTTTTTATGGTGGCATGTGCCTGTGGAATAAGGAACTCTGGTCTCTCTTAGCTGTGCTGGAGATACAAAGAATTATATTGCACCTTTAAAATCTCTGGAGTCCACTTTTCTTTGGGTTCAGTCCTTCGCTGTTTGATGTATTTGCATAAACCCATGGTCTTTGTTTCTAAGGACTCATCTGCCCCTCCTGCTATTCCCAGGTGGTGTAATGACATGTAATTTCAGTGTTTGCTATTTGGAATCAGTACAGGTCAAGGAATTTGGTAATGAAAGAGGGAGCTTTTCACCTCCAGCTTAGCCCTTCCAATCCAGTCTAGGCTGGTAACCGCTATAGGGCTTGCAGAGGTAACACCGTCCACCAAGATTGAGGGCTAACGTCACTTAAAGCCAATGCTTTTTTTGTGACAGTACGTACCGGTACAGCATACCGGCACCTTTTTGGGGGAGCACTCGCACCACACCGCTTTCCCCCAGCACAGCCCCCAGCTAACCCTGGGCACATTTGCACCGTGCCAGTATTTTCTAATTAAGGAAGTTTTCTGCTTTTCTCGGGCCCGGCTTGGCGCCTGCTCAGGACAGGTGGCAATTAAAGGGTCCGTGACCGCATTTCGGCCCTGACCTCCCAAATCCCCCTCTCCCAGGTCTCCTTGGTTACTCCCCAGTGCTGCTTTTTTTTTTCCTCGAGAAATTATCAAATTTTTGTCTGGTATTTTTTTTTTTTTTAAACCATCTGGCAACCCTAGTACCAGCACCTTTTTTTGTTTAAAAAAAAAAAAAGGCACTGCTTAAAGCCATTTGCTTGCTGTAAAGAGAAATTTGACTTCTGGTAGGGAATAAAGGGCAACTTGGACGGGGCTGAAATAGGGGTCTGTGTGTCATCAAAAGCTAGGGGGACCTACCAGGACACTACACGGGGCTCTCCTGAGACATCTACATCCCGAGACCCTCCCTGCCTCTTGTCCTTGCACTCCTGTCTTGAGGGCCCTTCTCTTTTCTGTCTGCTGCCCACGTGGCAGGGGGGGGGGCCCTTCTCTTTTCTGTCTGCTGCCAGCGTGGCAGGGGCGAGTCCTGCCCAGCTGGAGTAGCCCTGCAATACGGTGTGGCGGGCAAGCCCAGCCTGGCTGGAGCAGTTCCCAGCCCGTGACATGGTTAACCAGTTTTTTATTTATTCTCTCACTCACTCACTCACACACTCTCTCACACACACTTTAACCAGTTAACATTTTAAATGGGATTTTACATGGCACACTGGGATACCTCCCCATAGTGCAGCACAACAACCCCTGTGAGGATGTATCGCACTGATGCATGCAACCAAGTGTGCACGCATACAAGTGGTGAATTTCGGCAGCTGTAGGCTGGCGTAACTTGCATTGACCAAAGTCTGTCAGTAGACGAGGCCTCAGGCCCCTTTGCTTGTTCAGTCCTCGTCCTGGTTTTCCCACTGTCCTAGAACACAGAGAAAACACAGGCAATTGGATTCAGTTCTCAAACTCTCTGAAGTTTGCTTAGTTCCTTAGGGTTATTCTTTGTCCTAATGACGGGGATGACTTTCTACCAATGTCAGGTTTTCCATGGCGAAGGGAAGCCGATAAACCACAGGCTTGAAAGGTTGGCATGTTCGAATTGGTGAGTGGCCAAATCTAACAGCAAGGAAAGTTACCATCTTTACCCAGAATTACTGGAAGTCATAACATTTACATGCAACTACATACCAATTTGTTAATATGTCTAATTCAGCATAAGAATATATAATAGTACATTTGTAGTGCCGGGTATATGAAGATTTTGAAGTGCTTTACAAGCTGTAATGAATTCAGCTGCTTCCACCTCTGAGATATGCAAGTAACTAGAAGACTTACCCAGCATTGCCTGGGTCAGGCCCAGCCTGGAGCGGGTGTGGGGCTGTGCACCTTGGCTACTGGCTTCTCCGCAGGTCTGAGGGGGGCATGCACCCTGGCCTCTGGCTTGTTCCTGTCTTGGGGGCGGGGAGGGTGATGCACCTTTGCCACCAGCTTTGTCCAGGGTACAGGGTGATGCGGGGCTGGGGGGGGAGAGGCCACTGCCCAAGCCTGGCAGTGCTCCCCAGGCCTGGCCTAAGAAGGGGGGCAGCCACGGGTGGCCACGCAGCAGTTGGCAGCTGCTTCCCTAGTTAAGGCGGGGTGTGGGCTGCTGCTGGCTTGCGGCTTCCCACTGGAATGCTTGCTGCCCTCCATGGTCATTCCACAGTATATCTCCCTGCTACCAGACCCCTCCCTTTCCATTTTATGGGAAACAATCAAATTCCAGGCACATCCCATTGTCCTGGCACAACCAAGCCCTGACTAGGGATGTTGAATATCGGTTAATTGAATGGTTGAGTAACCTCATGAATTTTTATCGGTTAGTCGACTACTCTATGGTGCTCGAAGGCGGGGTTGGCAGACACTGTATCAGAGGCAGCAGCCCCTGTCTAAGTGGGAGGTCTGAGCTCCTGGACCTGGCATGAGCCCGAACTGAGCTGGGCTGCCTGCCTGGCTCCTAATACACTTTAAATGCAGACCAGCAGCAGGGGGTAGATCCCAGACCCGGCCTAAACCAGGCTGCTGGCTGGGCTGCTAAACAATTTACTGGCAAGGGTGGGGGAGAGAAATGCGTGTAGTCTATAGCGTTAACCTGTAAACTTTTGCATATTGGTTACTCGGTTAACCAACTACAGTATTACAACCCTAGCCCTGGCCTTGCTTTAAGTTAGGATAAAAGGAAGCTGCATGTGGTCCTGCCTTTTATTGTTTAGGAGTTGTTCTCGGACAATCAGACTCCCAGGCAGACACACAGCTATCCCCATTCTGCTAACTGAGAAATAGGAAAGCAGTGACTTGGCCCCAGTTAGTCTGCTGTGAAACTGAGACTAGGACTCAGCTCGCTCGACTCCATGTTCTTTTCTCTGGAGACCAGCCTTCGTTTTAAGAAGAGAGAGATTTGTGCAAAATCCTTTTCCAACCCGCTTTACCCCAGAGAATAAAAAGGGGACCGAAAACGGTAATACAGTATCAGTAGAAAACAGCGTGATGCTTCTGGGGTGTTCCTGTGACTGAGCCAGACGTACTGAGCACAAATGGAACTACTTCCCCTGTAGGCTTCATTTAAAATGCCTGTGATGATCTATTCGTGGGTTGGGTTAGTCACCCAAATAGAGGGAAGGGATTTCAAGGTGTTTCCGCTAAGGATGTCAAGGACTAGTCTGTCTGAGAGGCAAAAGCTTATCAGATAGTCGAGTCGACTAGTCGCTCCTCCCCTCCCCCTTGCTGCCTCTATCAGATAGAAGCAGCAAAGCGGGGCGGGGAAGGGGACGCCAGGGTTATGGGTGTGCAGGGGTGATGTTGCGACCCAGGTCCGGCTGAAGGAGATTAGAAGGAGGGTAGCAGAGATAATAGGCTTTGGAAGAAAGAGAGTATCTGTATCCTTGGTAACTCTTGTGCAGACAGTCTAAAATATCTGCTTTATTGAGGAGTGGAAGGTGGTTTAGGGTGGAAAATGCACCTTGCCCGCCTCCAAGAACAGTCATAACACTTCTGCGGAGGCTATTCTCTGCTTTTCTAGGTTCCTTGCTTCTTATCCTCTCCCTCCATGGGGCGGAGAGGGAGGCATGTTTCTCCATATCATTTACAAAACCCTGACGTTCCTTTCAGTTGACCTCCCAATTCTGCCTTAATTTTGCCATTCTCCAGTTACCCACGACAGCCAGTTCTTCAGGCCCTGGAGGACTGGACAGGACTCCCTTTGGGGCCAGTTAAAACTTCTTAACACCTTAAGAGGTTACTGAGTAATATTGAGGCACTTCCTTAACCAGCCCCTCCTCCTTACAGGTGGGTTAAGTGCGCTGCTTTTGTGTCTGCTTCTGGCTCTGGTTGGCCTAGTGGAGAATTTGGGAATCTTGTCTTTCTCTGAGCATTTGTATCATGCAGGAGCTAAATAGAATTGAATGAACACAGGCGGCGCTAACGTGCACGTGGGTAGAAGACATTGCTCCTTTATACTCAAGAAACTTTTTTTTAACTTTTCAGTTGACATCTCTTTAAATCTGACTGTAAAGCTCATGAATTTCATTCCCGCGTTCCTCCTCCCCACATCGCTTCTGATGTGGTTGTACTGCCAAATAAAGGATATTAATGAAGTCCCTATTTTTGGTGTTCCATAATTTGGTCTTAAAAATTCTCTAGGCTAACATGTGGCAAACAGTGTCTCAGTATGGAAGAAGTTTGGAGGAGGTGGGGAATCAGCTTGGTTCAAAATTACATACATCTCTTTCTACTTGAGTTTTTGACAGTTGCTGTATTTATAATTCTGGAAATGCGTTTTTCTATTTTGAAAAAGTTAAAAGGCTGAAATAGAGGCTTTGTAACATCAAAGAGGGAGTGAACTTTTTTATGTTTTCGAGTCCAAGCATTAACTCCACAGGCTGTAATGCTCATCTTTTTAAATGTGAAGTGGAAAACATACAGGATATGTAACCTGGGCAAAATAACATCGCTTTGGGAACCTGAACTCTTCAGTTTTTAACTGCTCTGCCTCAAGCTTGCATTGTTAAGGTAGCTAAGTTAAAATTGATACGAATGTAATTTTATTTCCAGTCTGTGTAAAGTGGATGAGTTAATATTGCAATTCAAACCTGAATCTTTTCACTTCTGGACTTTCTACATTTAAAATTTTAATATTGCAGCAAAGTCTTTTGTGCTAATATTTCATTTTCCTTGCCCACAATACTACTGATAATGCAGCATTTAAGTTGAGAAAACCATACAGTCAAGTCAAACAATGCAGAACTGAGAGTTTGTGATTCATCTTTGGCTGTGTCCTATGAACAAATGTCTCCAGGTAGTGGCCTTTTCTATCGTTGTACTAGCCAAATGATAAACTAGACTATATTAAACAACTTTACTAAACACACATACTGGGCCAGATTCTTGTTTTACTGGAGTCGGTCTAGCATAATTAATTGTAGTCTTTGGAATTAGCCTAAAATGAGAGAGATCAGATTTGATCCTCTACACACATGGTATTCCACTCCCATTAGGGTGATCAGCGAGTATTCTGATTAATTTGCAGATTAGTATTTGCTAACTTGAAAAGTGAAATATTACTGTCTAAAACTTTGCTGCTTGTGCATTTCATATTTGTGGTCATATTATAATGAAGATCAAAACTTTTATGAAACAAAAAAGTAAGGTAACATTTTCAGTTTAAAACTTATTGGAAATTTTCTAAGTGACTTATCTTCAATAGTCTTCATAAAGAAACTATTAAAACAATTCGTTCCAGTATGTGTGAGCAAAAAATTGGGATTGAAATTTATGGGAAAAGTAGCTGGTTGGCATATCTTTCTTCTGGGAGTTCAAGTAAAACTAAGTACCTGTGATTGCCATTGGTTATCAGTAGAGATATAAATTTATTATTCTCAAGTAATTTTTCTAACCCAAATTTAGTAAACCTATCTTGCCCCACTCAAGAATGCCCTTAAGTCCAGCACTGTTAGGAAGAGGCATAGTAGGGGGAAAAAATCTCTTCCTTTGCTTCTAAACTACTTGGTAAAGAAAAGAGAAGTGGTTTTATTCCTGTTTCGCCTTGAGAGACAGGAAAAAGCTCAAGACCCATCCTGGATTGCTTACCTGGTAAAAGTTCCAACTCTCTCTGGGAACATGTCTGTGTGCAGCGACGGTGATGGCTGGTTCTCTGCTCCAGGAGTGGCAGAACATGTCTGTGTCTTCTAGCAGCGACGGTGATGGCTGGTTCTCTGCTCCAGGAGTGGCAGACATTAATTTGCATGTGAAGATGGACCTGGAGAAGTGCCTTGTGATTGTGCTATTGCTTTCTGGACTGACGCTGGCACTGCATGTATTTACTAATCCCTTGGTGATCATAATGGTGTATCCACATGGGGCGTGCATTGTCTCCCTATTTGGACAGTTGACTCATCAAAAGCAGCACTTTGAAATGGATCAACGCAGCCCCACCACTAGTTTGCCCCTTAGAAATAATTGTCTTTCCTTAGATTCTTCCTTTCCCTGCAAGGACCAGAACATAATGGATCTGGGAAAATGACTCTCTCAGGACCAGGAGGTTTCAGTGAGACCTATATTGCCAGTGTTGGACCTTGTGGCTATAATAATGTGGCTATAGTACCAGGGGAATGTGTTAATTTCTCCAGGGATGCGTTCAGATGAATGTCTGGAGATGGGGGCGGCACTGCATGCCTTGTAGGCTTTTGGAGCTTTGGTGTCCCAGAAGGGAGTGCTAGCGCTAGTTGTAGGAAATTGGGCTGCTGTGTTCGACATGTATAAGAAAGGAACAGGACTGTGCTTCCCGTTGCCTGGCTTGAAGAGAGAATGTTGCAGGCAGGCTCTGCTGATCAGTATTAGACAGCGGTGGGTAGTTAGGATATGCATGATGACGGTGCAGATCCTTACGGT